GAGCGATTTCCGATAACCGGAAGTGGTACTTTTTCTACTTTGAATTTTTCAAAAGCCTATAACTTTATAACTTGAGCACTATTTCTGATAGATAAATGAAATTTTATATGTAAGTAAAAGATCTAATTCTCTACCTTCTCTTAAATTTTGAGTAATTTCTGTTGAACGGAAGTAGTAATTTACGCTATTTCCGATTTCTCAAAAAACGCATGTAAATTTATAAAGTTCTAATAATATTGCGCACTATTATGCACATTTTGTTTTGGCATTCGCTTGGTGCGAAATACTTTTTTCTATGAGATTTTATTCTATTTTTAAAAGTTTAAGTAATTAAAAATCATGTCTATATTCCATGTTATATAAGATTATTCAAGAAAGTTTAGGGGAGATCACTCCCGGTTTATTTCTTTATATAAACCTCAGTCCGGGGGTTATTACCTACCTACCTACCTAATATATATATATATATATATATATATATATATATATATATATATATATATATATATATATATATAAAGCAATGTATGTCTGTGTGTATGTGTGTGTGTCTGTGTGTCTTTTATGCATTACCACACCTCTTATCACATCGCCGTGATACTTTGGGAAGTTGTTGAGAATATTCCTGGGGAGGTTTCTGCGAAAAAAAAATCAAATTCGCAGGGGTGGCGCCCCGGCAGGGCGCGATTTGTTTTTCTATATATACGGTATATAAAAATAAAAGTCTATTCTGATTACACACTGTTCATCCGATAGGCATGAAACTTTAGGGAGTTGATAAAAGCACTCTAGGAAAGGGTTCTGTACAAAAATCATTTTTAATTTCGCAAGGGCGGCGCCACGGGAGGGTGCGATATTTCTCGATATGCGGTTTATAAAAATAATAAAAGTGAATTGCCGTGACACCGTTCACACGATCGTCATGAAACTTTAGGAAGTTGTTGAGAATATTCCTGGGGAGGTTTCTGCGAAAAAAAAATCAAATTTGCAGGGGTGGCGCCCCGGTAGGGCGCGATTTGTTTTTCTCTATATACGGTATATAAAAATAAAAGTCGATTTTGGTTTTATCGTTCATCCGATAGCCATGAGACTTTGGGGAGTTCATTATACCACTCTAGGGAAGGGTTCTGAAAAAAAAATTTTTAATTTCGCAAGGGCGGCGCCACCGGAAGGTCCGATTTTTCTATAAATACGGTTTATAAAATTTCGGTTTCACACCGTTCATCCGTGTACTATGAAACTTTGGGGAGATGATTAGATCACTCAATGGTAGGGTTCAGCAAAAAAATATTGTTTAATATTGCATGGGCGGCGCCCCCCTGGGGGAGCGATTTTTTTTTCTCTATACACGGTATATAAAAAAATAAAACTCGGATGCGGTTCATCCGAGTGCCATGAAACTTTAGGGAGTAGATGAGAATACTCCCGAGAATATTTCTGCGAAAAAGAAAACTAAAGTTTCGTATGGGCGGCGCCATATAGGGTATAACTTTCGTCAATACACGGTTTGGCGCCCAGAGTTTTAGAGCGACTATGTTGGCACTTGACATCCGTTAATCGAGCTTCCTGCATAGCGAGTAAGGGGTACTACTATATTCAGCGGTAAAACTACAACAGGTTTCTAAAAATAACTTTGTAACGCGAGGAAATCGTTCTGTACAGTTTCGTCACCTTGCGACAGATGAAAAAATAACATATTGCATCAGTCACACTGATATTTAAAACACGTCAAATAATTTTTTTAAATGGCGCCTGTTAGTTTTAAGGATAGGCACCACAGATAATTTTTTTTTTCATTTAACACATTTCTGGTTGTTTAATAAGTTCATATAATTATAGTTATTAAACTATAGACAAAAATAATATATAGCCGTCAATAGCAGTACTGGTTGCCATGGAAACCGCGAAAAGGTGTGAAAACTAACACCTTTTCAAATCGCTAAGGCTTTGTTCCCATAAGAGATTTTAAAAAGCGGATGAAAGATTTAGATTTCTCAAACCAAACTATACATTTCTACGTTTACTCATTGCGATAGCTTGTACTCAATTTTTAATACAAATTTTTACGTAAATGTATGTGCAAAAATTAGGGGGTGGTATTACATAAATATCAATATTTCCTAAAGTATTGTAGTAAACTTAATGTACAAATGTAGTTTTGTAGATGGTATCATGCTGAATGCACGTGGAATGTTTTATTCTTGTATGACAAAGGGTTCCAAAGCCTTAGCGATTTGAATGTTGAATTTTGAGTAAAAATGCAAAGTTGAGAAAACGTGAAAAGAAGAGCTGGAAAAGACACGGTCCGTTTTCTCTTATAGAAAACAGAAAAAAACGTCTTATTATATGTGGAAGAACCATTTGTCTAATAACATACGCTTTGATTTATGTTGTAAGTTTTAGACAGATTTTTTCTATGTAAGCAGAAAATATGTATACAACAGGTAATAAATGTATGACTATTAAGTATTACACATCCTATCAATCGAGCGGTATTCTCAGAACAGCTATCACCAAACCAGCTTAAGTTTTGTTTGTTAGCTGGTCTTCTCACTTCAAAATAATGTCTTTCTCTACTCAAATTGTAGCTTACACAAGTTTATTGCCTTATGATAATAGCCTACCACACAACACTTGGTACAACGCTTGAGGCTAGACACGGCCCCTCCACCCCACCCCACCGCTGGATAGTAGGTGAAGAACCGATGAGCCATAGATTACCAATGTTCATTCAACCGCGAATAACACATCTGTGTAGATAGGGTCAAGTACAGGGCCTAAGTGAATGCTTCTTAGCTATCCTATATAGTATTTACATTCGTTGCTACCACAACCTATACGGAGAAATGGGCATAAACATTAACACATGTGTCGTATACAGTCCGGTGTAAAGCCTGATGAACGCGTTCAAGCCTATCACAGCATGCCGTAACTAGATTATAAACCGGCCGTTGGTTGAATGGCGAGAACGTAATGAAGGGAGTAAAGGGGATGGACAGTACATTCTTCAAACTGATAGTCATGTCCATGACGCATTGTTTCAGCTTAGTATAAAGCGTACGAAACAGTGTTTAATAATGTTCCAGTGATAATCAACAGTGCATTTCTAGGCCACGTTTCAATTACTAAACTTAATGTTGTTCTATAACTTTAAAACAACTAATAGAAGAGTATACGCAAATGAGGTAAACAAACAAGACAGGGGATTGTTTTGTTTATCTACAAACAAGATGGCTGCCTAGCACACGTGGTTAGTTGCAGCCTATCGTGAATTATTTTGATTTACTGTACTATAATATGATTGGTCAAGCGTATCAATGAATCTCTTCCCCTTCATAATTTTTACGCGCATGCCCTTATATGGAGTTTCATATAAAATTTTACTTTGTAGAAAACAACTTCTATCTCACTTATTTTTAGAACAAAAGAAAAGGTCACTACACCAGCGGGTACACGAGTGCTTGGCCCTTAGATTGCTGTAAAGTTTATGGTGCCTCGCGGGCCATAAATACATGTAATACCCGCTCGAAGATAGCCGCTGTCCGCGAAGAAGTGTGAAAACTTGCCGGGGGGTACCATGTTTCACATCGCAATAAACGGATAACCGTAAGCTGTAGAAGTCCGAAATGTTCGGGTTAGATAGATAAAAGGTATTAGTATCGAATTAAGAAATAAAAATTTTGGGGAGCAAAATTAAAATTTTATCGAAAACATGAGTATCTTGTTCCCTTAAGGAGCCAGGGGTCGTACGCCGCGCCTATGCGGTAGTGTAATCGGGGGGTGGGGGCCGTGAGAGCGCCCCTCTACGTCTCTGACACAGAAGCGGTCACCGAAGTGTGTTCTACCATATTATTTCGGTGAGTGATTAATGTACACTCAAGGTTTTCATGCGGTAGTGGAGGTAAACCCGTGTCCTGATATTTATGATCCAAGCGCAAGCATTGTTTACATTTAAATAACTTATTTTTAGAAAAGAAGGTCACGCGTCTAAGAACATATAATTATAATTGATAACGCGTTGGTGAAGTCCTAATACATATATAATAAATATACACACATATATATATATATATATATATATATATATATATATATATATATATATATATATATATATATATATATATATATATATATATATATATATATATATGTTACGGTCAAAGCCCGAAATGCGGTCCAAACCCGGATTGGCCGGCCAATGTGCGCTTTGGCCGGCTCTCTTGGCCAAAGCCCGAAGAACGTAGCAGTAAGAGCGTATTTCGTACATTGGCCGGCCAATGCGCGCACTTACCGGGACGTACTGGCCAATGTTCTATCTAGACTAAATTGTGATTGCATTTTCATTATTTTGGGTGCGGATTCATTGTGGGTAACGTATTGTTTGGCTCTTGTTTGTATAGCATTCTATGTGCAATGCGACATGGACCAAAAGGACCGTCAGATCAAGAGACAGACATACCAGATGGCTGCCAAAATAATTAATCCAAATCCTAATGGAAAAGAATTTGTGAATAAAGTTAAATCTAAACTAAAAAACGTGTGGCCTGAACTTAAACTTGTTCACAGAAAACCAGGCATAGGCAAAGCCAATGTTCAGTAGAACGTGTCAACTAAGATGTTCAAACATGATGATGACATGGAGGCAGACAGATGAATCAGCTCATTGGGCTGAGAGTCTTATGAAAAACCGTAATTTTCATCAAGGAATCCAACAATCGCCATATATATATATATATATATATATATATATATATATATATATATATATATATATATATATATATATATATATATATATATATATATATATATATATATATAATCGAATATATAATAAATCATCCTGCACGCCGGTTGCCTCCTATAAATATCAAATAGAAAAATCAAATATCAGGTCTTTATTTCACTATTAGTCTCTTTTACTTTATCAATGCAATAATGTTCAGATTCTTGTTTAAGAAGAGTTATGTATGCATAAACTGTAACCATGCATAATTGTCGAAAACGATATACTTTTAATATATATCTTTGCTTACAAACAGTTTGAAAGCTTTTATGTAATGATAGTCAACCTATTTTTAAAGAACATGATACAATAAAATGATAAAGAAACAGAATGAAATTTAATAAACCGGGAGTGATCTCCCCTAAACTTTCTTGAATATTCTTATATGAAACAACCGGGGATGGGAGCTTGGGATATAGTTATGATTTTTAATCCATTTTTTTTTTAGAAATCGGAAATGGCGTTAATTACTTCTTCCGGTCAACGGAAATTACTCGAAAGAAGTAGAGACAGAAGGTAGAGAATTAGATCTTTTACGGGGTCGGCGTGGTCGAGACGGTAAACCTCTTGAATGCTAACCCGAGAGTCTCGAGGCTCGTTAGCTGGGGACAACCACTCTTCTAGGAGAGACAACTCCAAAATCTAACAACTGCTGCCTTGTAGTTTGTTCTTGGTTGGACAAAGGCTATGGAAGTAAATCCAAAAAGAAAAGCAGGCTGAAATCGGAGTCAATGGCCTCAATGGCGCATAACCAGTTGACACGTATCCTTAATTGTGATGGAGGCGTGGTCGAGTCGGCAAAATCTCATGGTTGATAAATTTGAAAAAGTCTCAAGTTCAAACCCTCTGGCAGATAAGGCTCGATCCCTTCAAACACTAAAAATTAAGAACGAAGAAGAAAAAGATCTGTTACTTACATGTTAAATTTCATTTATCTATCTGAAATAGTGCTCAAGTTATAGGCTTTTGAAAAATTATCACTTCCGGTTATCGGAAATCGCTCAAATGTTGACACAGATCTACGATTTTGATAAAATACTTATATATGAAATCTTATCAACCTAGCTGTAACGGTACTAAAGTTATCGTGTTTATAAACACACAGACAGACACACACACACAGACATACGGACAAGCTTACAAAACTATGTTTTCCGTATTAGTGAGGTGTAAAACGTCGAGATTTGCAAAAAATCTCGATTTTTTTTTTTGCGCGATTACAAGACTTTCTCTATACTTCGTATATACGAGAATGTAAAAATGAGCGATAACGTTTTGGTTTAGAAATCAAATAGAAAATAGAATCCATCTAATGCACAAGTGTGCTTGAAAATCTTAAAATTCTATTATAAATAATACAAATATAATTTTCAATCATCTGTCTCTGCGAATGTTTTTTTTTTGTTTGTTTCATGAATCAACATTCACTAAAAGTCAGGTATCACACACAATAATTAAAACTTAAGTCAAGTCTTTGAGTGATTTTACATAGCACAGCGACTCAAGACTCAGTAGACAGACCCAGCTGGATATTGTCTTTCCGCTCCTCCCCACATTTGTAGAGAGCGTTTTCATATCCTGAGCCTTGTCCAATCAAATTTCGTAGACATCTTGTGGGAAGGGTTTTTTTTCTAACGACAACAGCGACAGCTACAATGATAACACAGAATCCCATAATTCCTATTACAATCCCTGCAATCTGTCCACCAGTAAGCCTGTTTGAAACATCTGTAGAATTGAAAACGTCATGTTAGTTTAACAAAGTTGATGTGCTTGATTTATTTTGTTTCAAATGCAATTTTTAAAAAACCGGGAGTGATCTCCCATAAAAACTTTCTCGAATCTAATATATAAAGCTCAATTCTGTATGTTTGTAAAATGTTTGTCGTGGATTACAAAGGAATATAAGAAACGAGACCTGGATGGATTCAAGTGTTAGATTATTAAAGCGCTCATGGTCTAAATTTATGAGTTAAAAAATTAATACTGAAAGTGTTGGGAAATAATTTTCATTTTTCAAACTGATAGTAATAATTGTCGACATGTTCATTAAACACAATTTTTATAAAATAATCATCTTTTACAAAAATTTTAATTATGTCTGAAAATTATTTATATTTAGTCCTTTAGCACTTACTTCCCTTTGATAAATTAGGAAAACACAATTACTTCCCTTTATAAAACATTGCATTAGTGGAAATGAATTTACGTTTTATTGCTTTGTTTTGGTGTTGGGAAAAAAATAATTACATAATTAGCGGGGATTGATCAAGTGCAAATGTTATAGGTATTTTTAATACTGCCTTTTATTTATTCTATACACTGAACTTACTGTTTACTAATTATTTTAAAAAAATCAAAAACAGTTAATAAGCCAGGTCCTACATGTCCTATATGTTTATTTCTTTCCGTTCACGGATAAGCTTGGAGTATTATAATTGTTCCTTAAATTGAAACAGGCGCGTCCGCCGGCGCCCCACCAGGGTTCAATTAGGCGCCCTGTGCTATCCTGTGAGCGCTATGGTGCATAATTTCGCTTTAAACAGTGCGATAGAGTATGGATAAGAAAGCTAACTATAGTCTTAAAGTGAATTGAATCTGGGCGTCCTCTGGCGCCCAGACAGGGTGCTATTTGGGGCCCCGTGCATTCACGTGTTCAATTTGGGGTATTATAGTCGTTTATTAAGCTGAAACAGGCGATTCAGCCGGCGCCCCGGCATGGTGCGATTTGGCGCCCCGAGCTTGACTGTGAGCACTTTGCGTTTATGTTCGCGTTTGTGTTTTCTTTGTGTTTAGTTTGGGTTTGCGTTAGTGGTTGGATTTGCATTTTGATTTTGTTCGTTTTCGTTCTTTCTTTTCGTTTTTCTGTTGTTTTTTTTATTTGGGTTTTTTGTATTTGTGTTTGTGGTTGGTTTTGTGTTTGTGGTTGGGTTTGTGTTTGTGTTATCGTTTGTATTAGTGTTTGTGTTGATGTTGTGTTTCCTTTCTTTATTTGTGTTTTGGTTTTGGTTGGTTTTGTTAAGAGTGGGCAATGCCGAGTATATGCTGATTACTAAACACACATGTCATGTTTCTTTACAGATAGGTTTCAGAAAGCTCTTTTATAGACATCTGCTCCAAACTACAAGAAGATATACAATTTTATATAATACTAGCCGTCCCGGTTTGTGTTGTGTTTTTTTGTTTGTTGTGTAGTGTTGTGTTTTGTTTGTGTTGTGTTGTGTTTTGTTTGTATTGTGTTTTGTTTGTGTTGTGTTGTGTTGTGATTGTGTTTGTGTTTGTGTTTGTGTTTGTGTTGTGTTTGTGTTTGTGTTGTGTTTGTGTTGTGTTTGTGTTGTGTTTGTGTTTTGTTTGTTTGTGTTTGTTTATGTTTGTTTGTGTTATGTTCGCGGTTCTTTTTTTGTGTGTTTTGGTTTTGGTTGGTTGTGGTTAGGGTGGGCAATGCCGGATATATGCTGATTACAAAACACCCATGTCATGGTCCTTTACAGATAGGTTTTTCACAGAGGCCAGAGCAGGGCCTGGCCGGGACGGCTAGTCTAATGTATAAAGTTAAATTCAGAATGTTTGTTTGTAAAATGATTGTTTTTAAAAATGTTTGTCGTGGATACTTCAATGGATTTAAGTGTTAAATTATTATAGTGCCCGTGGTCTAAATTTATGAGTTAAAAAATGTCTAATGAAAGTCTTTCAAAACAATTTTCATTTTATATACTTAGAATACTAATTTTCAATTATGAACATTACATAAAATAAAAAAAAAAGTGTATTAACGTTTTAAAAATTTCCAAAATTGTGTCTGAAATGTATTTGCATTTTGTCCTTTAGTTCTCATAACGTCCTTTGATTTGGAAAACACAGTTACTTTCCTTTAAAAAACCCATTAAATCCGGGGAAGAAAGAATATACTTTTTATTACTTTGTTTTGGTGTTAGGAAATTTTTTTTACATAATTAGCGAGGATTGATTAATTGCAATGTCGTTGGTATTTCTAATACTGCCTTTTATTTATTCTATACAATGAACCCTACTAATTCTTTTTTTTTAAATCAATAACATTTAAGAAGCCAGGTCCTACAAATCCTATATGTTTTTTTCTTTCCATTTACGAATAAGCCTGGGGTTTAATAATTTTGTTTTCTAAATTGAAACAGGCGCGTCCGCCGCCGCCCCTGCACGGTTCTATTTGGCGCCCTGGGCTATCATGTGAGCGCTATGCTGCATAATTTCGTTTTAAACAGTGCGATAGACTATGGATAAGAAATGTTACTATAGTCTTTACGTGAATCAAATCCGGGCATCCTCTGGCATCCGACAGGGTGATATTTGGCGCCCCGGGACTTACCGTGTACGCTATGGTACCTACGTTCGCGTAAGTGAGTTCAAAAGACTATGAATAAGTTGTGTACTACAGTCAGTCGTTTACTAAGTTGAATCAGGCGGTTACGACGCACGTCGTCATGGGGCGATTTGGTGCCCCGGGCTAGACTGTGGACACTTTAAATTATATTGGCGTTTGTGTTTTCTTTGTGTTTGAGTTTGGGTTTGCGTTTGTGGTTGTGTTTGCGTTTGGATTTGGGTTTGGGTTTGTTTTCGTTTGCTATTTTTTCTTTGCGTTGGTGTTTTCGTTTGCTTTGTTCTTTGCGTTTGTGTTTTCGTTGTGTTTGTGGTTGTGTTTGTGTTTGTTTTTGTGTTTTCGTTTGTGTTTGTATTTGTGTTTGTGTTGTTTGCGTTTTTTTGTGTGTTTTGGTTTCGTTTGGTTGTGGTTGGGTTTGTGTTTGCGTTGGGATTTTTTTCGTTTGCTTATTTTTTGCAATAGTGTTTGTGCTTTTTTGTGTTTGTGGATGGGTTTGTGTTTTCGTTTGTGTTTGTTTTGTGTTAGTCTTATGTTTGCGTTTTTTGTTTGCGTTAGTGTTTGTGTTATTTTGTGTTTGTGGTTGGGTTTGTCTTTGCGTTTGTTTTTGTGTTTTCGTTTGTGTTTGTTTTGTGTTAGTGTTATGTTTGCGTTTTTTCTGTGTTTTTGTTGGTTGTGGTTAGGGTGGGCTATGCCGGGTTTATGCTCATTACTAAACACACAAGTTATGGTCCTTTACAGATACGTTTTTCAGAGATGCCAGTGCAAGGCCTGGCCGGGACGGCTAGTATTCTTATATAAAACAACAGGGGATGGTAACTCCATTTTAAATACTTAAAGTCTTTTAAATAGAATATATTCTCGTAGAAAAAGAATTGCACACCAAATGAACGCCAAATGAAATGTTCATAATAGTGCGCAATATTATTAGTACTTTATAAATATATTAGTACGTCCGGTAAATGGAAATTACTCAAAATTTGAAAGAAGGTAGAGAATTAGATCTTTTACTTACAAGTGAAATTTCATTTATCTATCTGAAATAGTACTCAAGTTAAAGGCTTTTGAAAAAATTCAAAGTAGAAAAAGTACCACTTCCGTTTATCGGAAATCGCTCAAAAGTTGATCAGGATCTACGATTTTGATAAAATAGATATATATGAAATTTCATCCACCTAGCTGTAACCTTACTCAAGTTATCGTGTTTATACACATACACACACATATGTACACGGACATATGTACAAGATTTCAAAATTATGTTTTTCCATATCAGTGAGGTGTAAAACATCGAGATTTGTAAAAGACCATACTTCGTTTATACGAGAAAGTTAAAAATGCATAACTGACAAAATAACTGACTGAATAAACCGGGAGTGATCTCCCCTAAACTTTCTCGAATATTCTAATATAAAACTACGAAAGAAGGCAATTAAGGATATAGACAATATTTGTAATCCATTTAATTACTTAAACTTTTATAATAGAATAGAATCTCGTAAAAAAAAAGAATTGCACACCAAGTGAACGTCTAATAAAATGCGCAGAATAGTGCGGGATATTATTAGTACTTTATAAATTTAGATGTGTTTTTTGAGAAATCGGAAATAGCGTAAATTAGTACTTCCGGTCAACGTAAATTACTCAATATTTGACAGATGGTAGAGAATTAGATCTTTCACTTGCATGTGAAATTTCATTTATCTATCTGAAATAGTACTCAAGTTATAGGCTTTTGAAAAATTCAAAATAGAAAAAAGTACCACTTCCGGTTATCGGAAATCGCTCAAAATTTTATCAGGATCTACGATTTTGATAAAATACTTCTATATGAAATTTCATCAGCCTATCTTTAACGGTACTAAAGTTATCGTGTTTACACACATACACATACACACACACAGACACACATACATACGGACAAGATTGCAAAATTATGTTTTTCCGTATCAGTGAGGTGTAAAACGTCGAGATTAGAAAAAATCTCGATTTTTTTTTTGCACGATTACAAGACTTTCTCTATACTTCGTATATACGAGAAAGTAAAAATTGTAGCTTGACTTACTTCCTAACAGATTAATTTAGTTGTTTGTGATTATTTAAGCATACAGTTATTCTGTAGCGATTAGTTAGTTTACTAGTTAGGGGGGGGGGGCGTACATCACGTGCGCGGACCTAAAGTTGAGTGACAAATCTCTCTCTCTCTCTCTCTCTCTCTCTCTCTCTCTCTCTCTCTCTCTCTCTCTCTCTCTCTCTATATATATATATATATATATATATATATATATATATATATATATATATATATATATATATTATACATATGATATATATATATATATATATATATATATATATATATATATATATATAT